ACCATAAACTGAAAAACATCACATTCAGCTCCTTTGCATTTGACACTCTGTTGACTGTCCTGCAAGCTTGTTCAGTTTGCTCAGTAAATATTTACATGTGACCCATTTAGTATTTGAGTGGACATACTCTGCCTGGCTGCATCTCTCATGGATTTGAACCCTGGAGACCCTTTGTCCCTTCCAGGCCATTCACTGTACAGTCAAACAGGAGAAACTCCTCTTTTTCCTACAATACTATCAATTCAGTGTCACACAGTGCTGTCAAAGAATCCATGCTGATTCTGATGTACACGTCATATTTAGACAAAACAGCACCTAGTATTTTTAAATCGTTTCCACGAACCCATTATGCATTCGTTCACTAAAAAACATTCTATTATTAGCCCTGGTCACGCGTGCCGATCCATGTGAGGGATCACAGTCTTGACATCAACAAGTGGCCTGTTCTTTTAACTTCTATATTAACCTCTGAGTTAAGGTTAGGCACTGTTACCACAAGGAACATGGACATTAGGGCCTGGGGAATGATGAGAAGTTTTGGAAGACCGGTGGGAGTCTAGACATGAAGCTGAGGTACTTGAGGATAACTTAACAGTGCACCAAGTTTACTATGTGGGCCTAAAACAGCAAGTTCCCATAACTGTTTATCCTATTTATCCAGGAAATTCAAGACATGGAACACTACTCGGAAGGTACAATACTCAAAACATGTTGTGAACACATTTTTGTATACTTTACCCTACGTGTATATGCTATTCTAAAAGATATCTTTATAAGGTAAAACAAATACTATTTACACCTTACTGTACCGATATTGGTATTTCAACTAGTGTCCATGTGCTGTTTGCCTTGTGTTAGATTACCCGGTAGTGTTCAGCCTGCAACAAATACAGCATAATATGCTGTGTTATTAAGTAGATCATTTATTTAAATGTTGCCTGCTTTACTCTTCTTTCATGACCAGGCTAAAGCAGCAATATTTCATTTACTACAAAACATTAATTTAGCTGTGCAGTAGCCTGCAGGTTTGCTTCAGACAGAAGTAATAGATGGGCTACTGTGTGCAGTGCACCAGCATTAAATGGAAATTGCCTTCTTGCGTGTTGAATTTTGAATCTCGCTCAAGCCAATCAATAGACTTCATCTCCCTCTTGTTGCCACTGTCAAATGTGGAAAACGTTATTAATGAACTATTGTTTTACAGATTTACATCTAGATGATAGAAGCAAATGTTCCTTGGTTTGACAGTTCTTTTTAATTCTGTTTCTCACTGACTGTAACAAAACTCCCTTCTCAAGAATCGTACGTCAGATCTATGGTAATGTTGGTTACCGGGCTGGAAGTTTTTACAACCATTCCGTTTCATCCTGCGGGTGTCAATTGCAACGTACCAAACTCTATTTATGTGTGCGTGTGTGTGTGTGTGTGCGGTGTGTGTGTGTGTGTGTGTGTGTGTGTGTGTGTGTGTGTGTGTGTGTGTGTGTGCGAGCACTGGCAGCACCGCACTATGCACCCCTGTGTATCCTTGACACAACGCAGGAATGTAAGCCGAAACCACCAGTAAACACATTAAAATTGTTTCCCGCCCCCCCAGGCGTCTGGAAAGACAGCCGATATTTATCCAAATTTCAAACAAACATTAAGACCTCATAAACAAAATGTTTGGTCTGCGTAAGCCAAAAGAACTGGGTCAGATCCACACGCGTCTGTTGTTACAACGGTTGTGTGGATGCAACACAAACTGAAAGGAGATGATGGATAGTGTGGTGTCTGGAAAAAAACAGAGGATCTGAGGGTTTGGACAACACGATGAGAATTATATTTAATGGTGTGAACACACAGTGGTTTAGGCTTATATGGCTATGCCGCTAGTCGCCTTGTGATGGAAATTAGCATTTCTCTGTCTCTGGAGTTCTAATGAAGCAACAAACTGTAAAACAGTTTTTTTGTGGATTACTTCTGGACTCTCATACCTTTAAATTCCCATTGTTGTTGTTTTACTACCTGAATGTTTTAATTGTGTTTGTTTGTGCATGAAGAAGCAAAACATTCTTCAATGCTGACCTTTATAATCCAGCCATAGCTGGTTTTACACAGAGCATTAACCAAGGAGGCAAATTACATCCAGCTGAATGTCAGTGCAGCTGAGTGCTCTGTGTTTGTTCCACAAATTGAAGAAAGAAATTGTCAGCATTACTTACTGGGTATTATCAAATTTGACTAACAGAAAGTTTCCTGAGTAAACTGATGACTTTGCCTGTAACATGAGGCTAAATATTCATGTTGTGTACTAAAAGGTCAAATCTTAGGACCAATATTGTTCTCTTTTTTTCTCCCCCCTCTAGGTCCTCAACATGTTGTGCTTTGCAATAGAAAAACATGCAAGTAATACCTTTTAAATGTTTTTTGTGGTAAACTTATTGTTAAAACAACCCAAATCTTAAAACTAATATCACAGATATAGTCTCGAGCAATGCGGACACAGATAAGACATATCAAACTCATTTTTGTCATTCTACTGTATGTTTTGCATTTATTCCTTTTTAAAAAAAACAAATTGTAGTTTACTTCTGGTTCAGGAAACACTTTACGACTTTGTTTTGAAAAGTGACATATAAACCACATTTAGCCGGTCTATGACAGCAATAACACAGTTTATTTTAAGTTGGTAGCAAAGAAAAATCTCTTCGTTGAACAACCGTGACATTATTTCTCCAGACCTGCTCTCTGTCTTTCTCAGGCTCTCCTTGCATTGATGACACTAAAGACATCAAGTCAGAGGAAAAAGTGCAGAGCGGAAGAAAGACAGGACCAGAGTAAACACTGCCTGGCAAGAGAAAAGAGAGGTGACAGGCAGAGAAGGGGAGGAAGGGAGGGAGGGAGGGGCTTCAATTATAAAAGGAGAGACAGTAGATTCACACTGTGCCTGTTCCTCCGTCACACTCCTTTCTCTCTATAAAGCACATACACATACATATGCATCACACATACTGTGCAACTCTTTCACTTTGAAAGTAAGCTTCAGTAAAGTCACTGTGTCTTGATTATTCATTGCACACAATGCAAAAAGTGTCCAAAATACTTAAATAAAGAACATGTCCTTACTATTTAGCTTACATTGAATTGTTTCTGGACATCTGATCAAAATTGGTATACAGTATATTAAAAATAACAGGGAAGCTAAAGGCTTGCTTATTGTTGATATCAAATCATGTCTACATTATGACTGGATAAAATGTATAATAATATAAGAACAAATATTTGAAATTGCATCATATTTTCAAAAAACAAAAGCCATCTTTTAACAATGACAACTGATATGTAAGAACTTTAAATGCTATAAACAAATTCATAAACTTTGAAGATGACATGAAATAATGGCAGAGTTTGCACACACTCTGTTTCTGCACCTGGAGATGTCCCAAGATTTATGAATGGGGGGTTGGCAGATCACTTAAGATAATGGGAAAAAAAAGTCTCAACAGATCTGTGTCCATGACGCCAATAGGTAGTAAAATTCCCCTTGAATCTGCCAAGACCAATAGGCTCCAGCCCTGTCTGCTGCATTCCTCCTCTGCACAGCTCACACACTGCCATTTAAGGCTACCGAGTGTGCTGACAGACTTGCAGAAGGTGGGACGAATAAAACCGCTTCTGATATTCTACAATGACAGAGTGAGCACTTGATCACCTCTGTCATTTGTGTATCAGTAAGTCTATGGGATGTTCGTGGAGCTCCGATATCACTGTCATTTCCATTTTCTCTCCATTTGTCTGCACTCTTTTTTTGAGAAACATTGCCAAATTCATATTGCTGTCATAGGTGTGCAGGTGTTCAGTTCAAACTACTATAAATAACATCAGTACAGGGTTGATGACCTGTCTGCATTCCAGTTACAGTGCAATCACTCTTGAGAAATCATAAAAAAGATTACAACATTACATCATGGTTAACAGGAAAGGTAGACGCGCTGAGACTCGCCAATCATTGTGCATTACTCAACCTTGGCCAAAGTGAAGTGAGTAAAGATGTGATGCACACTTCTATGAGGCTGCTAGGCTAACAGGATGTGATGCATGCTTCCCTCTGTTGGACAACTAGAACAACTACTACCTGCACTGAGATGAACGGCTAAAAGAAATTATAATACATATATAAAGAATGTATTCTCTTCTACCTGTGACTCCCAGTGATGAGTGCTTCTTATAACTGATGAAAAGAAAGGATATTGCAAAAATCTGTCAACCTCTTATCACAAACATGAAGCACTCTTCATATAAAACATAATATCTCATATATCAATTAATCTCTACTTTCAGATTGCACACACAGCCATCAAGTACTTTACATACAGTATAAGCTCCTATACAACAACCCTACACAATGGTAAGAATATGCAGAACACACTGGCATAAAAGTCATCAATCATGTATGTATGTACATTGTGTATGTGAGCATACATATATGTGTGCTTCCTCGTTGCAGGAATGATTAACTACTAGCTGGTTTGATTTTTTTGTTATTAGTGTCTTTGTTTTGTTTTCTGTCTTCTTCATAGCGTCAGTATGTCAGAGTGCATGAAGGTAATTGTGCAGTGCAGTGGAAGCACAGTTGCTTATGTTGGACTTCAGCAGGGCTTTATATAAAAGCACATTAAGCTGAGTGCCTTTTCGTGTGCAGTTAAGATTTTAACATCATTATTTTATTCTGTAAATTCAGACACAAGACTGTCCTGGTACGCGCCTTTAGTCGCAATACACTGCTCATTTTCTTTTTTTTTGTTAGATTTAAACTGACTTCAAGGACTCCAGGATTCTTGTGTACTTGCTCTATTCTACCACTTGATGTCACCCTTTTTACAGACACCAGTGAGCTGAAACTTTGAGCTGATGCAATAGTTAGGAGACACAAAGCTAGAGAGAAATCCTAGTATTTGCTTGCGTGTGTGTTTTGTTTTTATTTCTACAACTCATTATTATTTCAGTGCGACACTGCTTACCTTCCTCCCAGAGAACAGCATACACAGCTGATGCATGGAGCCTCCATTCTTGGTCAGCTCTTTCTTCAGGGTTTTAGGTGATGGGAGTGTCCAGCCGCCCTTGTGGTGCGCTCCCCCCGCCTCCAGGCAGTTGATGGCGTTGTCTGAAGTGAAACAAGGCGTGCGGGGGTCCTGCAGCAGGCTCCCTTCACTGTGCGTGCGCCTGCGGAGGGAGTTCTGCACACTGAGGCCCCCTCCACCGTGCTTCTCACAGGTGGCCCCCTCCACCATGCTGCGGCGCTTGCTGTCACTGCGCCGCAGGTAGGCGTCGTCACTGTCGTCTTCGTCGTCCTCCTCTTCAGACTCCTCGTCTTCGTCTTCGTCGTAATCTTCTTCGTCAGTGTTGGGGGAGGAGAGGGCATCGGCGCTGAAGGAGCGATCAAGGCGCAGTTCGGGGATGACAAACGAGGAGGAGGAGGAAGGGGGAGCGTTGGTGTCCAGCGGCTCCGAGGCGTTGTCCTCATCTGTGTTGGACGCCGCCAGGTTGAGGTTGACCTCCTCTTCATTCCTCTCTCCCTCCTCCTCCTCTCCTCCTTCTTCTTCTTCTTTTTCGTCCCCCTCACTCCCAGCACTCTTTCTGCTGGCCCCGTCATCCTCCTCCTCTTCCCTTCTCCTGCTCTCCAAAGCATTCGCCTCTTTCCAGATCTCCATCTCATTCCCCTCCATACTCCTCCAATACTCGTCCTCTGTGGAAGGAGGCGGCGTGGGAGGCACCTTGTGGCGCTCCTCAGATCCCACCAGACCCCCAAGAGGCATGTAGATGTCGTCCAAAGGGGTGAGAGGCTCTGACGGGTAAGGGCTGCCCAGGGTTGGGGGCTCTGAGGGACTGGAGGGATACAGGCTGCTTTCCTCACCTTCTGAGGGGGGCAGGTGGAGGCACACACCACCTCGATCTCCTCCTACTCCGCCCAGTTCACAGGAAGGGGCTTCCACATTAGGCTCCAACATCTAGAAAAGGGAACAGAGGAAGGCAGAGAGGGAGAGGACAGTTAGTCAAAACCATTTGGACAATTGACGCACGGTATATACGTAAATCTAACAAGTTTAACGCGGCATGATTGAGATTTACTGTGCTGCCCTGAGCAAATCCACTTATCACAACTATTTCATTAGCAGTCATTGAATTTGGTTTTGAAATATCTCCGTCATGCTGGGGCGATCGAGCAGCAGAGTAGATGACGTTTGTGTCTGTTGAGAAGGTCACAATATTAAGTGATGATAGTCCTGCCTGATCATAGCATACAATCTTTCGTGACGGGAAGTTCTACAAGCATGGCATCACGAAGCACATTGTGGATGTTGTCAAACGAGGCGAATGATAGGAATGGGAATAATGTCTTTCCATCAGGGCTGAATGAGGCGTTGTAGATGCAAAGTGCGGTGTATTTCACTACACGATATAAAACAAACTGTTGCTAATTTTTAACAACAAACACCAAAACTCTTGAAGAAATAGATGAGATTATTGCTACAATGTCTTAGCCAACCATTTGTTCACCGATCTATCGATTGTCTGATATGTTCCTATTGTTAGATCCGGGAGTTTTTATGCCCCGATACAGGCCTGATCTTCTTAGTCCGTTCTTTATTCTTTTAACTTGAAGGCAGCTCTTCTGGGATCTCAAACTTATACTTGACTCTATCATTTCAACATACTGACCATTTCTATCCAGCCCACATGACCACACAAGCCGTCCACTGCCCTCACTCGCCTCCCAGGGCCAAAAACACAATATCCCTGTCACGCACAAATGTGCACGTGTGCACACACACACAAACAGCACACTGTCCGTCCCCACCCTCTGCTCTCAGCATTACCTCCCTCCCAAAATGTGCTGGTTTTAAATGCTGCTTTAACCTATTGCCCACAGAGCCCTCAGTGGGTGGATCATTAAAAATGCATTTTGAGTGGGCCGACATTGTTCAAACCCAAAGAATTGCATTTTCAAAATTTGACTAAAGATCACAAAGTTACTGAATATGTAAAGCTGAATTGCGGAATTGTTTATAAAGTTCTGCACTAAACTTTTTTTTTAGTTAAAGACTACATTTTATGAAAACACATGGGTTCAAGAAGTCAATCAACTGTGTATTGAAATTCACATAGATGTCATGTATATAAACTTGGTGATTTTGGCACCTGTGTATTTTTGACGAAGGAGCCATGTTGTAGATATTCAATATGCGTTGGCTGTACTCCAGTAAACACGGCTCAAAGGAGAACATGAATAAACACTGAGAGGATGCACTGGTTCAAACGAACATGTAAAACACAAGTGGGTTAAGGTGGGTTGAAAACCAAACCAAGCTAGCGTTTCAACACAGGAAGTTGCTTGGGGTCAAAAAACTAAAAAAGTACAAAAAAGTACAAAAAAATGGAAAGAAAAGAAATCTTGAAATTCCCTGTGTGAAAAACAACTGAGACAATCTAATAATATGCACTTTTGAAGCTCACAAATTTAGAAAAGATAAGCTCTACTGCTGAAATTCTGACAAAGCCATTTAATATGTGTGAAGGCAAACATGTTTTACATGTTTTTAAATAAAACAACCATTTGGCATTCAGTTCAACCAAAGACGACAAGTAGAAAAAGTGGCATTAATGGTGTTAGCTAAAGAAGAGAAAGAGCGTGATCAGATGGTAAAGCTGCTATGTTCGATCCAATGCGTTCTCACCCCGACTCGTCACAGACTGACAACTTGGTCAGGAGCCTTGGCGTCACTTTCTAATGCACCGTCTAGAACGGGCTGGTTCAATCAATCTACACAGTGAAGTTTTTATGTAATCCAACACATCTTACTGTAAGGTAACCAAAGACAAATCGATAATTGCCAACAGCGGTGCGGCAAAGGTAAAGAAGACATCAAGGATAAAACCAAGTTGGACTGATCTTATTTTTGTGAAGCAAAACAGGGACAGAGAAGAGAGAAGTAAAGAAGTGACGCCAGCTATATTCTTTTAACTGAACAGAAAGAGGGGAGCTATAAGCTCACTCAGCGTGCAGCATTAAGGAAACGGGAAGCAAACCGCATTAGTGATATTAAGTTAGGGGAACGTTGTATTATCATTTTGATGTAGGTTTATAAAGTGAATATGAACATGGAGATCTGACGTGAATGTGAAGTCTTATATACAGTATAGACCATGAAAATAAACTGCTGTACCCAAAACATTCATGGGTGGATTTATGAAATCACAAGTCCTCAGTTCACAAAGGCAATTCTATCTTCTTTAAGTCTGCAGCAAGTCTTGTGAAGGAGCTCATTGTGCTGCTCAAGTTAACCCATGATGACGAGCTGCAGTCACAAGACGCTCTGCTCTAATTGGAGATAATGCAGCCTCCTCTTCGACAGCTCTCATGAAATTTCACAAGCTGTTTGTGTCGTTATGCAGCTCACATTAGTCTCCCAGATACTGGTGTCTTGATTAAACTTTTCTATAAACCTTTGACCTGTATTCATGAACTCTGCAAATAGCTTTAGTCAGGCTGACTTTCAGTCAGGATGTCACGGCTCAGTTCTGAGACTGGGACGACAACGGAAGAAACACAGGTATTCTAACAGACAAATACAGTAGATGGGAGGAATCTGTAAAATCAGAAGTGTTGGGAGTGGATGAGTAAAAATGTGCTGCATGTGTCATAGGTAGAAAACACAACCGAGAGATGTGTGGTGAGAGGAAATCCGCCCACAAAGTGTGCCCCAGAGAGGCAACAGCAAAGCACAGAGGGAATGTCACACCGTATATGTACAGACATATACATCTCCTGCAACGATATCACTTCATATTCTTGTAATATGGGCTGCGGAGAGCCTCAAGGCTCTGTTCTGAGCCTGTTTCTTTTGTGCACACTCAATGAAACTATCTGCTGATATCTGGCAATTAAAAACATACCATTATATTGACCCATCAACCCAAACAATCACTTGCAAACCTTTACCTGTGATGTCTTGCACCAGACTCAGATGTTACATCAAGGGTCACGTGTTTTTTTCCATGTGTATTACGTTCATGTTTGATTTTAGTGCTTCACACATCGCCGCCTCTTTGCCAAGTCTGTCACTCTACGAAACTGTTTTTCTTTGAGAAGCACAACCCAGTGTTATTCAGACCTCTTGCTTGTGTGCTTGTTTTGGTGGTGTTGGTTCCATTTACAAGAGCGTTGACTCAGGGCTATAAATATAAATATAAACTTGACTTGTTCTGATGTTCATGGATATACACAACTGCCCCGAGGTGATCCGGACCTCTCATTTACTCTTCTAACTACCTCTTAACCTACCTGTGATCCAATCTAAATGACAGTAGTGTTAAAACAAAGACATCAGGGCTTCTTACTGATGCAGTGGGTGTATGAGGGGTATTTTTATAATGAAAGGCACTTTTATCAAAGCACCCATGGAGGAAAGTGAAAGTAAAGACTCTGTCTTTTATCCCTTTCTGCCCTTCCTTTTCTCGTTCTTTCTTAGTCCATTGATATCCAAGTCAAAATGATCATAAAAATTACGTTTTATGAGGCCTGTGATAGTATGAACGCATTGAAAAATCATGACAAACAGTTATTCTTCTATCTATTCATCATACATTTAAATGTGAGGTGTACACAGACAGTTTTTCTCTTTCTATTTCTCAACTTCGCTGAACCCCATTCCTCTTTCCCTGTCTTACATACATAAACCCCTGACGGTTGAATTTATGGCCTGAGACACAATGGAGCCACCTGTCCTGTCAGATACACTTGTCCCTTCTCACACTCTCTACAGTCGACACATACACACAGTAACACAAACACACAAATCAAGCAGCTTTAAATTAAACCCCTGTCTTTCAGGCCTGTGCTCACGTTTAATCTGAAGATATGAAAACAGCAGGCATATCATCAAACTTCATCTTCAAGACATTTTTCCCATTATTACATTTACCACATTGCCAACACTCTTTATGCCTGCTTCAAAATATGAATGAATAGACACAAGCTAATGGGTAATGTCCTTAGGTTTATATGCATGTTTACATGCTAGTACAACACACACATAAAATACACACTTGTACTCAAATATGGCTCAGTCATCAATGATTCAAGACAATACAATCTCTTGCATTGCCTCAATTAAGCAAGGAAACAAACCGAGCGCTAAAAGGGAGAGTGGGATGCAGGGTAAGAGATTGAAGAGATGGAGGAGACAAAGTGAATAAGACAAGCAGAAGGGAGGAGGGGAGTCAGTGAATGGCAATGACATAGAAATTAGATGAGTTAGTGGAAGAGGGCAGAGAGAAAGAAATAAAACAGCAAAGGAGATCTCGGAAAATGTCCATCTTCTGTTTGTTTTTTATGTCAGTGGACCATAGAGAGCATTACAGAGCATTATCTTTTCGTTTTTTGCCTTAACTAACTAACAAACACAATCCCCCTAACCTGTCCTTGGATGGTTGTTATCAACTTGGTAAGGCAACCCAGCGTTTCTTAATCTGGTTACGAGTGCGTTCAAGTCTACTGGCACCAGAGCAGCATATTTAACAAACACAGAGCCAACTAAATATTCTCAAACTGTGAAGAAGTCAAACACATAATCAACACAGTTGCAGGAAGCACAGCTGCCGCTGACTGTGTGAATGTTTAAATTAACAGGCTTATAACATCACTACCCCCAACTAAGGCACGAGGAGTTCTGACTATAATTACACTTTTGTGTTCCGTTAAGTTAATGTGTTGCTTAGATGTATCATAGAATAGACTAGGCTAAAATAGAAGATACTTAACAAATCCCCTTGGGGAAATTACGGCTTGCATGACAATTTTAGCCTTATTCTTTCAGCTGAAACCCCAGCAGTGTAAAACTTTACTTTTCTCAGTTAAAACTGTGTTGATTTTAGTCTGGATTAGAACTTGAACCTGAAGTTTCCTTTGCAACCCCAGATCCATCTAACTAGCAAATGATCACCTGAC